TCATAATGTTTTAAATAAGCTTATGATTTTGTCTTGAGCCACATTCATAGCCATCCCGGCAGGTGATTGGACAATCCTGCCCTAAGGCCTCCTGTATGGTAAACATATTCTTTCTTACCTGCATTGTGAAGTAGTAGCCCAGTTCCCATTTCCTAGCCAGGATCAATCACTCCAGCCAGCACAATCATTTCCTTCGATGCCTGTTAATTCAGACGCAGGAGGAGCCCAAAATGGTTGGGTGGGAGTCTTAACATTCAGGTGAAAAAGTCATTGTTGCGTCTCCTGGTAGACACATTACTCCCTTTGGAACTAAGACTTCTAGGCCAGTAGAGTATGAATAGACATTTCCCAAAAGAAGATAGACAAATAGCCACCAAAGATATGAGAGAATGCTAAAAATCACTAATTATCAGGGAAATGCAAATTAATACCACAACAAGATACCACCTTACTCCTGCCAGAAGAGACAGTATTAAGAAGTCAAAAATTAAGATATTGGCACAGATGTGGTGAAAAGGAAATGCTAATATACTATTGGAGGGAGTGTAAATAAATACAAACTTCTATAAAATGAAAATAGTATAGTATTTTCATACTTTCTAACAGTATGAAAATTTCTCAAAGAATTTATAGTAGATCTGCTATTTGGTCCTGCAATTCCAATACTGTGTGTCTACCCAAAGGAAAAGAAGTCATTATAAAGAAAAATACCTTCACTTGTATGTTTATTGTAGCACAATTCACAATTGCAAAAACATAAAATCAACCTAAGTATCCATCAAGTTATGAATGGATAAAGAAAATATGTATCAGTATGTGTATAAAAGAATGAAATAATGTCTTTTTTGGCAACTTGGCAGGGACTAGAGGCCATTATCCTTAGGGAAGTAACTGAGGAATGGAACACCACATCCCACATGTTCTCATTTATCAGTGGGAGTAAGCTATGGGCAGGAACAGTGTACAGTGGAGACTGGGGAAGTGTCCCGAACAGTGTCCAGGAAGAGGGTGGGGGATTAAAGGAGGAAAAATTACATATCAGGTACAACATGTACTGTTCAGGCGACAGATGTACTAAAAGCCTAGACTTCACCACTATACAATTCATCCATGTAATAGAAAACCATTGTTATCCTTTACATCTACTGTAATTAAAAAAATATAAACTAAGTAACAGTTAAATGAATATATCTTTACCAAGTTAGCAGAAACACATTTGATAATAGGAAACTTAAATTTTGCTACTTCTTAATATATATTCCTAAAGAGTAAAGTCCCCAAATTTGTTGTCAGATAAGACCAAAAAAGATGGAACTCATTTGGAGATTCACAATAAATATTATTAAAACCTCTGGGAAAAAAATACCTTTAAGCTCAGTAGATATTCACAAACAGCATAACAGATGCCAATACCGTCTTCTGTATTGGTACCTCTGCCAAGTTCATCAATTAATATTAGTGATTTGTCATTAGCATTATGTAGAATATATGCTATCTGAAAAATATAATTTTAGTATTATTCATTGTAACCAAATAGCTGTCAGTATCAAAGAAAAAAATCAGGAGAAATCTAGTCTCTTTATTAGTTTATTTGAAATGTA